TCTGCCATCACAGGTTGCTGAGTTAGAGTACTAACTGTGCATGTGTAATGGAACTGACATTGTATAGTTGCATTTTGCTTTAAAATTAAACAAGCTTACATACTGATGAAATCTACTGTGTCTATGGTTTTTATTTTCTTAATCCTATAGTGTGAATTAATAGGTTATGGAAGATCAGGAATATTTGTGCAACAAATCAGGTGTGACATAAAACTTCAGCATGCCCTTTTTTATGGTTAGTTTTTACAGATAGTCAAAAAGAAAATAACCATAACTGAACAAAATGGTTGAAAAAGCAAAAAACCTTAATTTGATCTTCCCTAAGTATGTGGAGTTACCGTTTTTCCTGAGGTCTTAAAGGACTCTAACATTAAAAATTTATTAGTGCTGCTCATAATACGTTAAAGAGTAAAAAACCAAACACTGCATTTGAGTACCTACGGTGATGTTCATCTGTTAGGTTTTATTGTTATTTTGAAATTGTCCAGCTGAGTAACCCAGTTCCATGTGCTCTTTAATTGAAGACAGCATTAACGAATGAATGCTTACAGCCTTTTTCTATTTTTGGGGCAGGTCTGGTGTGCTTCTCAAATTACTCTGGGGTGTCAGCCCTGGAGACACCTTCGTTCGTGTTCTCTCTTTGTGCCACTTAGGTTGTCATCTGTTCCACAGCTTTAATGTAGCTTTAAAGGAAGGTGAAATAATCTACATAGATAATTGTGATATTCAGCTTTCTCTCTGTCTGTTGCACATGGATTTTATTTCTGTGTGGGACAGATGAACTTTTTTAAGCTGATGCAGGGAAAGCGTGGGGCAATGCTTTGTGGGTTGAAGTTAGCAGCTGAAAAACCTTGCATGCTGGCTTCAGGGAGCGAAGCTGTTAATTTTGAAGGTCTGCAATTCAGAAGTTGGGGTTTTGGGTTTTTTTTTCCCAGTATTTCAGAACATCTATTGTTATTTGTGCTATTGTTTGTGCCTGGACTTGCAAGCTGCTACAGTTTTGAATGTAGCTGCCCATCTGCTTCTTGGTTATTTATAGGCAGATCTATGGAGTTCTTTCTAATCTCTCAAGTCTTCAAAAACATTAATGAATTAAACATCACAATACTCTTGTAAAAAGGGAATTAATATAACATCTCCATTTTACAGATGGAGGGACTGAATGAAGACTAAAAGGGATAAATGACTTGCTGAAAGCCATATGTATATTTCATAGCAGAACAAGGAATAGAAACCAGATTTCCACACAACCCCCACCCCCTGACTTTTAGTCCTGTGTTTAAGAGACCAGCTACACGCTCTTGCTTGATACATGATGAGGGAATGAAGCAAGTACTCATTCTTTGAAACTTGCAGTAGATGCTCATGAACAGATGAACCCATTTAAAGACCTTGCACCATGCACTGAGAGTGTTAAATATTTCATATGTAAATGAATTTGGGTTAACATGTTTATATTAATTCTCATTGAGCCTAAATTTGTTTTGATGTTTTTGACCGCTGGTTCCTACTGGGTTGCTTAGAAAGAAAACACCTGTTAGTTGCAGAGCAGCTTCAGGGCACCTTACTTCCAGTCATCTAGTCAATGCAAGTCTGTCAACTTCTCCCTCTGCCCTCTCTCTTTAATAGACTTTTAAAACAGTTTTAAACAGTGTCTGGACATTGGTTCTTATTTAGTATTTTTTTTTATTAGATGAGACTGAAGATGTGTAGCAGAAAATGCAGGTGATATTCTTCATCAGAAATTATGCACTTTAATGCTGAATTACACATAGTTTATATTATGTGGGGGTTTTGTAGCTTTTGGGTTTTTGTTTTGTTTTTTGAAAGAATTTCTAGAATTTTAAACGATGTTGGGTAAAACAATGTAACTTACAATGTTTCCAGAGCCTAGATACGGGGTTAGGTAGGGGATGCAGCTTACCAAGTCATGATTTGATTTCACAGTGGAGTGCAGCCTGAAATATTGTTTGCATTTTTATCTGTTCTGTAAATTTTTTTTTTGCTATTTGTTTGCTGTTTCCCCAGCCTCCTATGCTCCCCCTAATGTATACCTATTTCATTTAAGTTTGTATCTAAGAGAATTTTCTCCACAAGTAGTATTAGTTTCTGCTTGGTGGTGGTGGTGGGGGGGTGGTGTTAGAAGAGTTTTCTATTTCACTGGAACACCTTTCAAATATTTAGGTTTTAAATACAAACATTATGTGGATTTAGTCTTGCTACTTTTCTGTGGAAACCTTCAAAAGAATGAATACATTGTTGGAGATCAACATTGCTGTATTGATTTTAAAACATGAAAGCCCAGGGCACTCTAAACAAGTTCAGTGAGGTTCTTCAATATAGTTCTTTTATTTAGCATGTGTCTTGTATACACAAGTTTTACAATTTGGCATATGGTATTTTAATTGGCAAAGTAGATTGCAGGTGGGCATGCAGCACTCTAGATTGTTTCTGAAATTCAGCAAACAGATTTAACCTGTTTAACTTGTTTCATATCTGTAAAAGTTGAGCATCTAAAAGTTTTATGTCTTCTGTTTTGGAAGTGATAAAATGCAGCTTCTTGAAGTATTTCACTTTCTTCAAGTGAAATCTGTTCTCTTGGGTGCTCTTGTTTTTCTTCTGTAGCTTTCTTTTATTGAATGAGTCCAAATGCCTCTTTTTATTGACAAACAGACACTGGATCTGTTTCTTTCAGCTAAATAGTGGTATGACATTGAGCAACGCATCATCCTTTCCTCATTCTAAACTGACAGCTTGATGGCCAGTTTAAGAGCCTGTCGTTTTGTCTTCCTCTGAACAAGTTAAAAAGACTTTACATTTTATTTGTAGGTCTAAATATACTTATCTGCTTTTTAGTAGTGTACCTTTTTAAAACACCTTTGACAGCTCCCAGTGGAAAGTAGATGCCAGCTCTCTTGAAATTGTTTCACTTTCCAATATTAAAAAAAGACATTTAGTTTAATTTATCCTGAGATCCTCTGGGGTGTTAAACCTTATTTTTAAACCTGAAGTTTTTTTTTTTCTGGTATGTTCTAATAGCCTGCTCTGGTGAGAGTTTTCTTCTAGATGGAGCACATCAAAGCTCTCACAGAAGAGAGGTAATTGAAAACTTCAGGAGCTTTTGGAACAAAGACTAGGTGTTTGAAATTATTGGCAATTGTTCTGACTCACCTCCCTCCACTCTGAATGAACAGAATGCTTCCTTTGGTTCCAGGAAATACTGAACAAAAGAACTATTTTGATCCATGGACAGTGCCACTACTGTGGCAGAAAGCCAGGCAGTGCTTTCATATTAAATAAATGGGTCTTTCATAACAGCAAAGAAACATGCTCCCTAGAGTCAATAAGTTGATGTAAACTTTTGTTCATATGTGAAAGTATGAAGATAATGAAGTGTGTGTGTAGGTTTGGGCTTTCTTCATTGATTATAAAAAAGAGCTATTTGCAATAACTTTGAAATACAACCTGGGGGGAAGAACGGAAAATTCATTACCAGGTACATGTTCTGCATCTTAAGAAAAAAAGAATACTGACAAAGTTAAATAGCTTACACAGGGTAGTTTGAGCGTGGTGTTTGAGGGACAATGACTGCCTGAGTCATTCTTGATTTTTGTGTTTTATGCAACAAATAACTTAGAAATTTTTGTCTGAAGCATACAGGAAGCTTTAATAGGATGCTTATTTGAGTGATTACTCAAAGTGCAAGCTGTCTTGGGTTTCAGTTTCCTGCAAAAACTGAAATTTGTTTGTTCCCTTCTGTAATCTGGGAAATGTGTATTTTATCTAATTAACAAAAATTGCATTTAAATATGGAGACTCTGGGATAAGGGGTGGGAATGAATATTGTGAAGTATTACACAACGGAACAGGGAGGGACAGTAACGTTGTTGAAATGTTATTTCTGTTTCATAATAAAAATAATCATTCTGATTATTTTGTTTGTAATGAAGTTCATTGTTTTAACAAGAAAAGGAATAACTATTACTGTTTTACTTCAGGCTTTCTATTTGGACTTGTTTGGGTTTTTTCTTTTTTTCTCCTAGATCATTTATAGTTTTGATTCAGTTAACTTCCACTCCCTCAGGAAAAAAAGTTCTGTTTGTGTGCATGAGTGCTGAAGTATCCAGACAAACACCAGGTTGCAGTCTGAAGCCCTGTGTCTGGAATTAAAGAAAAGATTTTTATCTGTTTTTTATTTTGACTGGATACTGGTGCATATCTTGAATTACGTATTTCTGTTCAGACTTAAGGGGTTTTTATTATATGGCTTGATTTGTGCAAGTATGAACTCAGAAAGACTTACAAGCAGATGCCAGTTGCTAGTGTTTGTAGGCTGGAAGAGGAGGTTGTAGTTCAAGCATCGTGTTGACTGTCAATGAAATACAGAAGCTTAATCACAGTGAATTGCAGTTCATAATGCAATAAAAATGGGATGTGGGTAAGAAGGGATTTGGAGACAAAAGGAGCAGCAGCATTTCCAGCTATAGGTTGGACGTGCTTCTTCTGGCTGTTGGGTGTTTTTCTTCAATTGAAGACCTGCTAATGGCAGGGTAATGGCAGTGTCCTGACATAAATGCAGCATAACGTATTTAAATAATTAGTATATTCCTGGTAATGGGAGACTATGCAAAAGTGTAATTTTATTTACACTTATTTTACATCTGAATGAGCAAACAGATGATCTACTCATAAATTAATTGTAGTTTAATGAGGTTGGGAAATAAGACTTTTATATAAATTATCTCAGTGTCCTTGGTTGAGATTCTGCTTTTGATGTTGGTTTTTTTTAACAATGAGGAGGAAGAAATCTTCAGTTAAAGATTTGCATGGAAAAATGCATATGATAATGTTTTTTCTTAATTTTTTACAATACTTTGGATTTTGGTTAGTGTCCTGTGCTTCCTTCAGAGGAGTACAAAAGTGTTTTGGCCAGTGCTTATTCGCATGAAAAGTTTTAATTGATTTCCCATGCTTGACAACTTTAAATTCTTGTGTTTCAGAGCTGTGAAAATTATCTGAAGTAGAATGGAAGCTTCGGTAATACTACCCATTCTGAAGAAAAAATTGGCTTTTCTTTCAGGTACGGTTTCTGTTTTCCTCGATTAGTTGGTTCCTGCGTAATTTGGGTGGGATTCTTAGGTTGGTTACTTGTATTTGCCGGATGTATTTAATAGAAATATATTGTTGTTTGGCACTTTGTCATATTTCAAAAGGATGTCTGAAACTTTTAATCTAGCAGCCAAGCTATTGCTGTTGGTATTTAGCATTTGTTTTTGCTGTAGCTTGTAACTCAACCCAGAAAATTGATGTCATGAGGTTTCAGTCCATATATAAATGATGATTTAGCAGACATCTAAGAATAATCCTTTCTGGTTCTTTTTTTTAATGTGGTTTTAGAAATACAGAGTCACTATTTTCAGGATTTTCTTTAGCAAATTTTGTCTTCCTTTTCATCTGTCTTTTCTCCAGCTTTTCTCCATCCAGAAATGGATGGAAGCAGAATTAGCCATGCATTGCAACATTTTGATTATTGCCAAGTAGTTAATTTGGGCAAGGCTGGAATTGTTGTTGTATTTATTAAAACTTCTTGAATCTTGGGTTGAAGGTAGCTTTCTCTCTTCCCCATGCCAGAGAAAAGCAAAAGGGAATTCTTAAAATGATGAATGACATTCCTTTGATTTCACTGCTGTCATAGGTAACTGTGTTCTTGGTGTTTGATTGTCTACTGTAGGGTAGGTAGGTAACTTGCAGAATACTTCTCAGCTTCACAAATTGACAAGTATTGCCATAAACTAAGCCAGGAGAATATTATGTATTTTAGCTGTTCTAGTTTAGCCTGCTCCATTTGCTTGAGAAGTGAAATCTGTTTGTTTTGTTAACAGAATTTGTTTTGCTTTGAACTTGCCCACTGTCCCCAACAATTGCAAATCAGACAATTCCTGTTGAAAAGCAAAAAAGCCACCCAAAACTCAACTTACATTAAAGTCTGGGACAGTGGGCAATTTCTTCTGTAGTAATAGCAGATGCATAGTGCATTGATTGTTCAGCATTTATACCACAAGGGGAAGTTCTCATTAACTAGAGTGCATTTTCAATTTGCCATTAAAGCTGCCTGATCCATTTCGAAACATAGATGTGTTCTTAGTGGAAAGTAATTTATTGAGTGGCAGTTTAAACGCTAGGAACCTTTTTGAACGTACATATTTCTAAGTAGGCTTGACCTTTTTGGAATTGTGTAGTATTAATGGATGCTTTAATTTAATGAATGGTAAAGATTCATGCAGTAATTCTCTTAAGTGTTCTTCAGTGTGAGTAAAGGAACCTGACAAACAAATCAGTTCATCATGTCTCTTTAAAGGAATTTTATTCCATATAGTTCAATGAATAAAAACATATGTTTATATGTTGAAGTCTCTTGTCATTTTTTCGTTAAATTGTTACAAATAATGTTGGCCCTACCTTCTTTTTCTGGAAGCAAAACAGAGTGGTTTCTAATGGAGCAGTGTCTCCTCAGGTTTGGAATCCATGACTGTGTAGCTTCCATGCTGGTAGGTCACTACAAATAGCAGGGGGAAAAAAGGCAAGCTACTGACTCAGCAAAAAAACCGAACAACCGCTTTGGTGCAAAATGAATTAAAAAATTTCTGGTTTTGTGATGCTGTTAGTTATTTTCCTTAACTTAAATGTGTTTTCAGTTTATAAACTACACCACTTCTTCTGAGTTAAAACATACATTAAGTTAATTTCCCCTGATTTTATTTTTCAGGTTTAATTCTAAGCCTGAAGAGTCAGATAAGTCTGAGTGTAGTGCTTTTTTGTAAGACAAGAAGGTGGTGTTTGCCATGCCTAAAATCACAATGTGTTTGGGTTTATCTCACTAAACATTGTATTCTGAAGGTGGTGGTAAATATTTACTACCAATCTTTAATTTTTAGAAAGGAGTTACAAATAATACAACCAAGATCAAAGAACAGCTTACTTTACTGTTTAATTAAATAATTCTTACTGTTTAGCGTGTTAGTATTGGGAAATATTAGACTATATCCATGACAGCCATCACTTCTTAACTGGTAACTTTAGGTAATATTCCTTTAAAGCCCCATTCAGTTTTTTTAGTATTTCCTTTAAAAATACAGTTTTGAGTTAAAATGATTCTTAGGTGGATAAAAGTATACCAGTTATCTTTTTCATAAATGACTGGCCATCATTTGTCACTGAGGAAAAGAATCGGTGATAACTCCTACCTTGTTCTCTTTTTGTGCTGTGGCTGGTTGACAGAATATTTACCTGATCTGTATAACTTCAGTGCTATAAAGCTGCACAAAAAACACAGTGCAGGCAGAATACAGATGTTTGAATCTTTTTTAGTAGTGTTTACAGGCTGGGGGAAAAACCTGTCAGTTGTTACACAAGATGACATGTCATGAAACTGAATAATTTAGGTAATTATTATGGTCTGTTTGTGAAATGTCAAGAGATTATAGGCTTTGAGTTTTGTTTGTGGTCTTTTAGTCAGTTCAGCAAATGCTGTTTAAATCCAGGTGTAAAAGCGAGAACTTCTGTGTGTCTGCTGTCTTGTATGAGGGTGCTTCAAGTGCCAATTCCGAACTTCCTTTAGGTAGACCCTGTTCAACACTGGAGTCTTTCAATTCTGTGTAAACAAAATGTGAATGACTATTAATAGTTAAATACTTTTGTAAGGGCTGGTGTTTGTCTCTCTCATGTATCTGGAAGTAACTTTGAACAGAACAAGTCCCTTCCAGTTATGAATCGGCTATGGTAAGACTAATTTGCTATAGATAAAAGAAGAAAACATGTTTTTCTGCAAACCTTTTCTTCCCCAGCCATGTATATATTCATTAAAATGAACAACTTTAATGCTTCACTCATGAGTTCATGGGTAGGGGAGGAGAGGGAGTATTACTACAATTCTTACAAATATGTTATCCAATAGAGTCCTGAGATGCTGCCATCGCTCATGGAATTTTGGACCCTGGAAGTTGATTCAAGGCAACCCTTCTGCTGTTCCCTGTAGAAATACCTTCATAACCTCTTGTTCTTACTTTTCATATTGCAGGCTCACTCAGTTTGATCACCAAATTCTGTCCAGTCTGTGTTTTTAATTTTTATTAATACTTGTGACAGTGTTTTCTTGCTTCTCTGCTCCAGTAATTTTTCATAGTGCCTCCATTTTACAATGTGTAACACATTTTTGAACTTGCCTGTTGCAAATTTTAGTTCCAACGAATTTATTTTCTGTATTCCTAAAAACTGCTACCCTCCTTTCTCTGAGGATTTCTTTATGGGTAAGGAAAGACCAAACGATGCCTGAACACTTAAGGAAAGGCTTCTTTATTCATTTTAATGTTATTCTTGTTGAGAGATGGTACCTAACAAGCTACTATTGAATCAATATGGCTTCTGAAGTATTGTTTTTACATCTACAAACTTAGCATTTTCCTCTTATTTGTTGGATTTAACGTGCGCTCACTAAGTAGTGTAGCAAGTGGAGAGAAGTTCTTTTTTTGCTCCAAGTGTACAGATGAGAACAAATGCCCAGTTTTTAAAGCATTGAGGTGTTTTGCCTTCCTTTTTCTTCTGCCTCCTCACTCCAATTTTCAGGCTTTTTGCCATTCAGAAACAGAGAAGGGTGGACAGTCTGTAAATAACTATTGCTTTAAACTGTGTGTCTCTCTTAGTTTCTGCAGAAAGGATCTATCTGTTTCTCCTTTCTCATATAGCACCACTCTTTAATTCTAGTGTTTAGTTATTAAAATGTCCATTGCGGTTTTCCAACAACAGTTCTTCCCCAAAAAAGAGAAAGGGAGGGGAATACAACTATAGCCATGGACCACTTAAAGCAGTAGGTTCTTTATGAACATGTGGAAAAAGTGTATCAGTGGATCTTTAATACTCTTTGGGGAGTTTGCACAGCTTTGGAAACAAGGAAAAACCCTATTGCAATTAAGATGCCAACATATGTTGTGTAAACAGTGGCTTTTTCATTATCTTGCCTGCATCTCTAACGGATGGGGAGATTCTTACCAAATTATGTCAATGTATGTGTATGTATCTGCAAGCATTACTGTGCTGTGCTCATGCACTTTGTCTTCTCTCTGCACAGCTGTTACTGTTCTGTAAAAGGTTTTTCTTACTGGTGAGGTAGAATTTCAGTTCTACAACTATTAAGTAACTTTATGAAGCAAAAGCATGCTTTAATGGCTTTAACCACGTGAATAACACACAATTTGACAATAAAGGTGTTCTTAGGTTATGGAAATTTACTTTGTTTCTTTTTCACCCTAAATAAAGCTGAGATTATCATTATCTTTGTACAGTTTTTCTAAAATACGGAGAAAGTTGCTTAGTAACTGCCTCCTAAATGTACTTAAATGGCTCTGTGGTATTTTTATTTAATAAAATAGCTAATAGATTAAAAGTTATTCTAAAAGATAATATTGAATAAAATGGAAAAGGCTTTCAGCTGCTCCAGGTTGTGGAAAACTTACTTTGAAACTGGTTTAATGTAGAGATGGGTGTTAGTTTAAGGATTAAAAAGATCACCCCCAAACTGTAAGATGACTGAAGTTATGGTTTAATAAGCTATAAACTCAAGCACTATATCCTTCTGGAGTATGTTTGGATTCATTAATGTTCTTCACTTCATGTGCAAATTCCCCTCCCCACTTCTTTTCTCTTACTTCCCCTCCTGTTCCCCCCATCAAAAAAAAAAAAACCCAAAAAAACCCAAATGTTTGATTGGGTTTGTACTTGGAGATGTGGTGATAATAGTCAGCTGCACACCTGATTTCCTTCACTCTACAGGATTTGCTGATTGACCCTTTCAGGGAGCTGTGTCAGTATTTGTTTTTCAGGTGATCTTGTATTTAGTGGATTTGGCTTCAGTTCCAATTTAAGCTGAGTAATAACCTAGTCCAAATCCATTTTGGTTAGTGGCTCATACCTGTGTGACTCAAAAGTCAGTCTTTTAGAAGAAAGATCAGAAGAGTAAATTTCAGCTTTCTCTAAAGATCCATTTTTGGTTGTTTTTAAAACTGTACCTTTCCAGAGATTTTCTTGAGAATCTGTGTAGTCAAAAACAAACTGCAGTTGTAGAACATCTACTTACATGGAGCACATCAGCATTACCTAACACTTGATCATACTGCATCTCATAATGGACATACAAATGTGAGGCCAACTCTTTCAATATTTTTGTTGCTGATGCTGTTTGTATAACTTTTACCAGGAGGGTTTGAAAATGTGTATGAAGATTAAAGCAACTGGTTGGAAATACTTATTTTAATTGCGAGGTGACTGTTACGTGTTTGTAAATAGGTATGGAAATCTCATGTGTTTCATGAATGAACTACAAATTTAGAGTATGTGCCATGAGCAGCCTGTGTGGTAAAAGATCCCTCTTTTGTGTAGTCAATGTTTCTAGGTGGTGGTGTGTTACAGTTGGAGCTGCTGGATACATGCTCGCCTTGGAAGCTTACCAGGTTTCTGACAGGCTGGTAGTGTAGAAAGTCTAGGAGATACTTTTTAAAAATGTCATCTAGATACGCAAGAAGAATGTTTCTGGAAAACTTGATTTGTGTTGTTTATGTTGAAAGTACTAGATGAAAGACGATGACAGCTACAGATGTGGTCTGTGCTCTGAAGCCTTAAATATCAATGTGGTGAATGAATCCTCACAACTGAGAGGTGAAACGTCAGTTGTGATTTTTCACAGCAACTTTAAAGATTACTTTTATGATGTATTTTGAGACCATGTAACTACAAAGTATTTGTTTACCTTAAAGCCATCAGAATACCTTTCTAATGACTTTCCCTCCCTCTCCCCCCCACCCCCCAATATAGGAGGGAAGGACAGAAGAAGTGGCCTCATTCTGACAATTCCATTATGCCTTGAACAGACGAGTATGGATGAGCTGAGTGTCACACTAGACTACCTTCTAAGTATCCCAAGGTGATTTCAAAGGCATTCTGTTCAGGGCTGCCTTCTTTTGCAGTGGTGGAAGGGATCTTTATATTGTTTTTTTTGGTTTGGGTTTTTTTTTAATTTGCCTTTCAATATCAAATGAATTTTACATAAATGTTTGTTTAAAATGTGATACTGTCTGACTGAATTAGAAACATACATCCCAATAAACTAAGGGATATCTACTAAGGCTTGCACTTAAGGAATTGGCAATATTTGTGGAATGGATGCAGGCATTGTTGTTCTAGCAAGCATTAATTATTCTGTAGTCTCATCCTGATGTATGTTTTTGCATATATTAGTGAAAAAAAAAAAACAACAAACAAACCACAAGAAAAAAAAACCAACAAAACTGTCCGAAAAGTCAACTAAAGTACCCTTTGTACGTTGTACAAACTGGGAAATCTGTTTGAAAGCAAAGTTCAGTGTTGCCACATCTAATGTTCTGTTTGTCAGTTGTGGAAAAAAATCACCTCTCTCTTATGGTGGCAGTATAGAAAAATCATTGTCATTTTTGTTTGCATGTTATTTTTTAGTGGGAAATGCAAACTTTTTGGCCTAAGCGCTTCCCTTTTCTGTTCTGGAAAGACTTACTGAACAGTCATTGAAAAAAGGAGGGGTTTGGGCAGGGGTGTTGTCCCAAACCTCAGTAGTTGTCCAAGAAACATTAATGTTACTTTTTTCCCCAAGTTTTATGTGTAAGGTAACCTAATATGTTTAACTTTTAATTCAGTTGCACATGCCATATGTTGTAACTATAACTGTTTTGAAATATGCATTCTAGTGTTAATGGATAGCTGCATGCAAAATTTGAGAGGCATAACTGTTTAGTGTCTTGGGTAAAATTTCTTTGGGGGGTGTGTAGGGGAAGTGTGTGTGTATGTAAAGTTTCCTTAAACTTCAGACAACTTATTCCTACTGTTATGCCTTTCTTTGATGCTATCAGATGATTTTCTTGGATTCTGAAGGTGTCTTCAGAATACAAGAAAAATAAAAGGGGCAATGTTATGCTACTGTCTGTGCATACTGAAGTTTGCTTCCTATGTTGTATTCTCTGTATTGTGGCTCAACTCACCAACTGTGGTGGCTTTTTTTTTTTTAAACTTTCATACAAACATTTATGTTTAGTATTGACTGAATCTTTCAGAAGTGGTAGCTCACTTCTGAATTTGGTTGGTTGGGTGTTTTGTTGGTTTTTTTTTTAATAGGTCTAGTAGTAGAGAATAGCAGATACTGATACTGCTAGATTCCAGTGAGCCTAAGGAAGCCATGTCTCAAGATGCTATAGTGACACTTTTCATCTTGTTCTTAAAAGTACTGGTAGTGTGCGTTTTGAGTTCATTCTGATTAAACATTGAATGTGCAAAGCCTTGAATGTTCAGAGTGCTTCCAGAAAAATCATGTGTGTGATCTTAGAGGTTCCTTAAAACCAAAAGTATGCATGGATTGGCAACCAACTTTGTAATTACTTTTTCGTGAGTAGAGTAGTAAGGTGCCTTTTTCCCCTCTTTTTAAATTCCAAGATAATTGTGTCTTCTGCCCATACCTGATGAAAGCTCGGCTTAAACATGAAATAATTGACAGTTAAATTTCTTAGCATGAAACATAATGTTACATGCAAGTTGCTTTGTTTTTTGTAAGCTAAGGAGATCACATAAATGACTTTGTTTTGTAATTACAGATTTGGGTGCTAAAGATGACACGCTTTTCTACATCATGTAGATGTCATGGGTTTTAGTTACTTACAACTTTGGACATAAAAATTTCAACCTGTGACATGATACCTAATGTGGTAACTAATGCTAAGATTATGGGCTCACTTCCATGACCTCTTCTGGCTGCTGCTGTGCTGGTTGTGAGAACATAACGCTTCCCAGCTGTTGGTGACATCCAGAGGTTGCTGCCACCATTGAATTCTGCCCAGCTGTTGTTGTGAGCATCTTGTTGCCAGCTTCTGTTAGAAATTAGCTGGAGAGGCCTGTGTGGGAATGCACAGAGAGTGAGGAAAGTTTTCACTATTTTCTCCCATTTGGTACTTGAGCAGAAGTACCTTTGAATTTTTGGCTTTGTAGCTAACTTTGCAGCAGTTTTTGTAGTATACACAGACTCAAACCTTATTAGAAGGAAAAGATTATATCAGTCTAAAATACTCTTTCTTGTAGATCCATATGCAAAGGCTCTTTTTGTGCACTGCAATTTCTAGTCCGTTTGTTCAGGAAAGAAATTTAAGCGTGTTTAGAGGGTTTCCTGCTTGGACATGCATCAACTGATACGTAGCGGTGTCCTCAAATCTGTGCCAATTCACAAGTAACCTTGTAAAAAAACTGACATCCTTTTGTCTTCCTTACAAAACTGTCAATTGACCTCTTCTTCTTTCTGAGGATTTTGTGAAGTTTATGGTTATGAAACCTTTTTAGACTTGCTAAAGCTTAAATAAATGCTTGTATTATGAAGTACACTTCAGTGATGAGAAAGTGTAACTTGGAATATCTATTAATATGCTTGAGCATTAAAATTGAAAGTTATTTCTAAATGAGTAAACTTAAGGTTTTTAAAACAGTATTTTTATAAGTAAATAACTGTAGTTGTATTTTTCATTAGAGTTGAAATCCAAAGTCATTGTGATATGACACTTTTTCATGAATTTTATTTTTTTTCTAAGTGTTTTTCTTCTTTTAGTGAGAAGTGTAAAGCTAGAGGATTTACTGTGATAGTGGATGGCAGAAAATCTCAATGGAACGTGGTAAAGACGGTTGTGTTAATGCTACAGGTAAATAAACTTTTATACATTCATAGTTAATCAGTTTTATAGATGTGAACGCAATAGATTAGTTTTATAGATGTGACCCCAATAGCAGTGTTATTGTGGAGGCAGTAATTTATTGAGAAATAGACAATTTATGGCCTTTTAAAATCACAAAACGGGGTTCTGTGACAGTTCTGTGCAGGAGCGACAAATTCGTTACGTGCTGAGAAAACACAATTGTAGACCTTTTTCTAAAACACAGTTTTAGTTTTTTTAAAAAAAAAACCCAAACATAAATACGCTCTTGTCATTGTCGACTGTGAGTAGTAGGAATGTCTGCAGGGGAACAGTTTACACTGACAGTGCAGCTGAGCAGGTTCTGATGCAATATGCTGTACTACTTGGTTTCCATTGGAGTTGGCTATAGTTGATTTTGTTGTGTAAAATAGTCCCAATCACAAATTATATTCTGGATGTTATACAAAGTAGGAGCAGGAAAAAAAAGTGCTAATTTCCAATTAAAGAAATTCATAAGAATTTATTATTTTAGCTTTTCAGAACTGTGGGGTTACAATAAAGTCTATTTCTGCTAAACAGTATAGGTTATTTTCTGGTGTCAGTGGTCAAAGAAGATGCAAGATACACCTATTCTTGACTAAGATGTCATTCCTATTAGTAGTTATAATAATTGGATCCATTATATTCTGATTATGATCTTGACTGAGCTTTTGCTTCAGCTAATGTGCATGTTGTGACATTTAGTGGGAACTTCAGCTTGTGGGGAAGTTACCTGTTTGCCTGTGCTCAGATTTCAGTGGCTTCCTGTCAGCACACTTCCTGACAGTATGAAGCCTGCAGAAGCATAAGTTGCACATCTGTATCTTTAATTTGAGAAGGAAGCAATAAAGAAGATTTTCATATGTAAACTAATCACTTGTGCAGACCACTTAAGGTTTCTTTCTGCTTGGATACATGTAGTTCTCAAAGGTGCTGTTGGTCATCAAAGAGACACTTCTGTGTTAAAAATATTGTCTACTTTTAAATATTTTTTCTGTACTCATTAAAATAGTGCAAGAATGAAATACCTTTTTTTTTCAGTGCTATCTTTTCTGAGTTGGATGTATATGGCTTTTTCAGAATTACATTTTTATAAATAAAATGAGGTGTTTGAAAAGAAATCCCATGCACTGTGTCATCTTTATGTCAGTACTGTGATTATCTTAACTGTTGCTTACTGCTATAGCTGATGACTTGGGAGTAATCAAGAGTCTCTGTTCCTTGATCTACATTCAGTGTGACAACATAAAATCAACTTGGTAGATGAAATTACTGTTTTAGGCAGAGGAATGTTTTCATGATAATACTTTTATGAATTAATATTCTGAAATGTTAATATTAAGCCTTTTCATTCTAGTCTAAGCAATATGTCCTGGAGAAGTACAGGATATAATCTTGACGTGATTTAATAACAAAGTACACAATTCTTTTCTGACTTTATGATTACCATTTCATTCTGTATAGCAAATGGCAGTGGTAGAAGCTTTGTTGTCCTTAATTTTTTTAATGAAATGCCATAAATAGAATTAAGTCTAGCCAATAATTCATGTTTTTCTATACTGATGTAGCATGGACTAATGGTTAGGCCTCAGAACTGGGAGTAAAGAGGTTAGATGTTTGTTTCAGTTCTGACATGATTTTGCTATGAAATTTAGTGCAATCTACTACAAAGCAGGATGGAGCCAACATGTGATGTTGATGCAGCAGACTTAAAATTTACAGACAGAAATTAAACTAAGTTCTTGAATAGACGATGACATGTAAGTGGAATTTAGTTCTGTGGTAAATGAAGGTTTAATCGTGAATGTTTTACTTTTTTTTTTTTTCATTTGTTTTGCAGAATGTTGTTCCAGCTGAGGTGTCACTTGTTTGTGTAGTAAAGCCAGATGAATTTTGGGATAAGAAGGTTACGCACTTCTGTTTTTGGAAAGAGAAAGATAGGCTTGGCTTTGAGGTATGTAGAACTTTTTTCTATTTCAAGTCAAAAATACCATTTCTGGAATACTAGAGTAATTGGATGAAAATTAATGTGCTCTAAAAACAGTTATATTCCAGATGCTTTGTGGATATTCTTAAGAAACCGCTGTGGCCTTTTAATTTTTCCCTCTTTAATAGGAGTATTAAATGAAGCAGATCTCAAATTAGAAATGTGTGGCATTTAATTATTTGCTCAGAAAAAAGATAAAGCTGTTTGATACATTGTGGATGTTTTGAGTAAGAAACTGTTGTACAGGGTTTAATGGGAATTTTTTTCATGACTTCTGTAATAGACTGTAGAGATGCATGTTGTACAGTGTCACTAAATCAGTAGTAAACGTTTTGAAGAACATCTTGTTGCTGTTGCATGCATGTTCTCTCATTTTTTTTGAGTTCTTTAACATGAGTAACAAAGGTTATAGGTCCCTTCAGTTTGCCAAATATAAGGTGATAGCGTTCTTACCTTGTGAGACAGAGTGTACACGAGATGACACACTGTTAGCAGTTCCATTCTTTTATCTTTAAGGGAGGTTAATGGAAACCTCATTTTTTTCTTTTTTTTTTAAGAAAATTATGTATATCATCAGTCTTTCCAATCATTTTTGAAGCTAATCTTGTTTGAACTACAACACAATTGCCATGCTCACCATATACTAAAATGTCCACTTGTTTTGTACAACAAAGCTCTTAGAGAGCCTCTTTTTTGTGAAAGAGATTGAATAGAAAACTGTTTTGCAGCCTTGTCTAATGCTGTGTAATTCTTTCTGATGGTAAGATTACGACATTCTTGAATACTCCTGTAGAAAACTTAGTTCAGGGAAAATGGGAATTGGAAGGTGGTAGCTGAAAGGTTATGTAACTGCTAAATAATATAAACCTAAAGACTCCATCATCCAGATAGAATGCTGTTAATTCGTATGAATTTTCTCCTGTTAAGTCTTGTATCAGACTTTACGTAGAATAGGTGGCTTCATTTTTTTGGAAGCAATTCCTGCATGCGAAAGTGCTCTGAAGGAGTCGGGGGGTAAGATTCCTGTTTTCAATCAGATGACCACCCCCACCCCACCCCCCCTTTTTTTTTTATTTTAAATCTGCTTTAAGGTTCCTTTTATTACATCTTTTTTTTTTTTTTGTAATCTGCTTTAGAGTCTTATGAGTAAGGAAATCCTGCATGTTTGCCTTCAGGCTGTTTACCTTGCAGATGAAGATCATATTTTCTTTTTGAGTAGTTCTTTAAAGACAGATTTGAAAAGTAGCGCAGATTCAACAGAGCAATCCAAACTATCCCTGAATGCAATCCCACTTGTGAGTTTGAAAGTCTGCAGCCAGTAAGATACTCACTAATAAAGATAGTGAAGTGCCTGAAATTTTGCTACTGGAGGTGGTTCCAACTATGATAATCTTGTGACTTGCATTAAACTCTCTTGGGTTTCACAGATGTCTGTCTGTCCCTTCACCTGAATCCATTGAGAGGACTGGCAAGGAGGTGTGGTCAAAATATATTTCCATCTTGAAGTTCAGCATGTAGCAGCTCAGTCATAGCTTCTTTAATCAAACATGATTATCAGAAGAAAAAGACATGAGTATGGTGGTGTCCACCTTTTATAAACTAGCCTATTTTTTGGAGCACATCCAAGGTGAGGATTAAAAAAAGAGACTGAACCAACCATCTGTACTCAAAAGGATGACTTAAGAGCTTGTGTTTAGAAAGTGACTTAAGTTTGCAATATTCAGTTTCACGCAGATGCTTTTATGACATAAGGTAAACACCAAAGTCCAGAGAGTGTCAGTAACAAAGGTGAGCCCCCCTTCTTTAGCAGTCCCCACTGTCTGATTTAGGCTCTCTTTTCCTATCTGCACATCTGTAAATATGGTTGTTGGACAAGTTCAGGAAGCCTTTGTGGTACAGAAGCATTTTATACAGTGGTTGTTACTGTATACATCATGGTATTGCCAATTTTAAGAGTAATCCTCTAGAATAGATTCTTCTTGGATTTTTCTTTAATATGACTCAGCTAGGATCTATTTCTAGACAAATAAGGAGAAAGCCTACAGAAAATATGTTAATAAAGCAGGGATCATTTTACATGGCTATGATAATAAAGGGATTTTTTTGTTTGATTTTAAGGATTGGCTAACAGTCATTAAATGATAATTCTGTAATGAAATTTAGTAAGCTTAGTAATTTTATGAAGCACGTTCTGTGCCAATGATGATGTTGGCCTTGTTGGCATAAACCATTGGAGTTGTGTAACTAAACATTTTGGTTTCTGTTTCTAAACTACTTTTTTTCATTACTGAACTGTAAGCATTTCTCCCTGACCTGAAATTTTGATCAAAGATTCTCTTAAAGTAATAGTTCTAAAGTTTTAGGAAGAAGAAAATAATTAAAGTATTAGAGATACATTTCATGGAAACATGTATCAAAATGTGTCAATTGTAAGAAAAGTAATTAGTGATGTATCAATTTACATGAAAAGTAATCATAGCATTAAAACATAGCAGCTACTTCCTAGGCAGGAGGAAAACTTCAGATTTCCCTAATGGCTCCTTGTATCTTGACTTGATGCATGGGCATCAGAAGTTTGTGTGAGTAGAGGGCTAATAACATGTTGATGCTGAATTCTCATTTTGGTTGATAGGTCTTTGCTCTTGAGTTTCCCTTCTGCCTAATTTAGAAGCACTGAAAACAGGGTGAGACTGCTTGCTTGCCCAAGGGGCTACCATCAGCTTTGGGGCAGTTGTCATCTAACTGAGGCTGGCTAATGAACAGCTGTTGATATAGAGTTGCTATAGATGTTTCTAAAGAGACTATGTGATACCATCCTAGTTCATGGCTTTTGCTTGTTTCTTGCACTTTTTTGGGTTTTTTATATTTTTTTTTTCTGTGCAATAACTCAACTCATTCTTCATTAAAGGATGGGGAAAGCTGAGAGGACAGTAGGAAAAACCCTTGTGCTTTCCCAGATGAGGAAGAATCACCCTTGTTATTAGGCAAGCCTTTGTTCTTCACCATTCATTAACTCTTGGTTATGTGTTACTTGATTGTGACTAGGAAAACTGGCTCAGTAAAAATGACCCACCTTCTCTGTGCTCCAAATAATATTTGTGTTAGAGATAGTAGTATGTCTTTGCTCTGTTCCTGATATGAGTGCAGAGCACTGATAAGGCTATGGAAGCCTCTAACTCGTGCACAAATCTACAATTGCATAATTGTGTATTACTGGCAGTAAAAACAAAACAACACCCAACTTGTGTTTTGGATCACGGGTTAGATTTGCATAACTACTAGGAAAATCCAAGATTGCTTTTGCACCAGTAAAATAAATATGATCTAAAAATTTAAATGAAAGTATGAAATCTTTTTATGTACTTGATTGTAATCTAATTTTATTTGAAGTCAATTCTATGTAACTGATTTCTAATTTCTAATGGGGCATCACATCTGCCTCCTATTTCCTGCTACCTGATCTGTTTTTAATACCTTACTTAATATTGTTATATGAAGCCATTAATCACAATGCCTGCCTTTGTGTTCAAAGGCAGGGATCCTTTGCTTCAGTGGGATGTGGTGATGATGAGTTGCAAAGCACTGAAAATAAATGTGGGAACTGAGATCAAAAGGCTACTGGGTGGATAAGTATAAAGAGGTGGGCTGATTCAGCTGAGTAAAAAAAGTGCATATCCTTATTCCTGGTTAGTATTAGTGTTGGTTTTGGACCTGCCTCAGGTCAATTCCCAATCACCCCCCAGCAGAACTTTCCTCTGTACCTTTATTCCTCCCCAAAATGCTTATTAGCAACCAGTTCGTGTGTTCATTGAAGCATATTTTTTCTGGTCCTGTGCCCATGCTTCATAACAGGAGAGTTGTCTTAATAATTGTTCCAAGGGTGTATTTCAGATGAAATGTTGTGTATGTTACAGTGTGATACTTAATACTGTTAATGTTTTTCATTGAATGAAGAACAGAATTTGAATGTAGAAATTTCTAACTGTGTTTTGGAGGGTTGGGAATTGTTGCTTTTTGCTTTTTTAATGTACTCCACATAGTGATGTGAAACAAATCACTGTTAGTAGCTGTAGTATGTTGTATTTGGTTGTGAGCTGTTCATATGAAGATAACTAGGATAGCTGGAGGAAGATGTATGCTACAAAAGTAGAAGAAATGTGCAAGTTCTGCATATGTTGCAGTTTGTACACAATGCAAAATTGCCTACAGACTGGTGGAGGTTTTTTTGCGTATGCCATTCATTTAAGGGAATGGGAGGAAAAAATAATCTCTAAGCCCGGTTTAGATATTAGTCCTTTGAAAATTAGTTTTTGTTGAAAGCAGGGAGGAGGAAAGTGTGCTTGCTGTTCTTATCCTTGTGGAAATCATGGAGCAAAATTTAAAAATTTTAGGATTGTGAGATAAGAAATCAAGGGCTAGGTGGTTTTAAAAAAAAGAGAAAAAAGGAATAAAAAAACGTGGTAAACTACTGGGAACTAGTTGGAAAAATCAGACCTTAGAGTATATGGCAAAAGGATCTTGATAGTCCTGAAGTCCAAAGTCTGAGTAGTTCTAAACACTTCTCGCTTGCACCATAGCAGCTAACAACTCTTAAGTATCTCGTAATAGTGTCAGAAATTTCTTACGTTTGTGTATCAGCAGAATCTACTCTGGAAATATCAAGTCTCTGATGTCAAATCATCAATATACAGAGGAGTGCAGAAACCTAAACCCCACATTTTTCCATGAAAATTTTCTGCATATCAACCTGTTTATGGTCTATATACTGTCATATCAGAATTGCTCTGAAAGAAATATTAGCCAGCTGACTTCTCTTTTTCCATGTTACGTAGCTGAAAAATAGCTAGTAAGATCTTGTCATTTGTTTAAAAGTTTAGGAATTGTTTAAGAAAACAACTGGAAAGGCTGAATCCGATGTGATTAGACCAACAGTTTTTCGTATCAGTCCCCAATTCAAGTAACTCTTC